TGTGTGTGTGTGTGTGTGTGTTTCCTTTTGATCATTCTGGCTCTAAGTTTAATAACTAAGTTATCAAATATAAACTATTTGTTTCACTATGTTCTTAGTCTAGTAATAGTCAAGACACTGTGTTGAGCTAACCCTTCTGCCGATAACAATCAGGAAGCTGGACAGAATATAAAAGCATACATAGGCAGAAATTGGAAGCAACACGCTAAAAAGGGTAGGAAAGTTCTTACCGACAAGGCTGGTAACACCTGAAGACACAGTAGGAAACAGACAGCACCAATCCTTTAAAAAGCCCACCCGCCCCCAAGAACACTAAACTTGAATCTAATCAACTTCTGCATCTAACCAATAGCTCACAAAAAATACAGTTGATAGAAGATCATGTTAAAGTGAAACAAAGAGTAGGACAAAATATCCAATATTCAGATTTGGGTTAAGATAAATGACAGTTTATCCTTAATAAATAATGGAACTCAAAAACAGGGAAATGTATGAAATTAAGAGACTGAACAGTTATACCATCTGAACAGAATACAAAAGTTGATTTAATCCTGGCTCAAGGAAAATTACAAAATGACATGTCTGAGGGCATCAAGGAAATTTGAACACTGAGTATTTGGTGCTACTGAGGAATCATGGATGACTTGGGGATGGGGGTAGGATCCCATATTACGGCTATACTTCTTTAAACCTTTTCTTCTATATATAGCAGAAAAGCTTTGCACCCCCTGCTGCAACCATGTGGTCTCCTCAGAGTTTTTGTGTGGAGGAACTGTGAGATACCATCATTCTCATCAGACACGTGTGACCACTGCCAGCTTGCCCTGAGCTGAGACAGATACCATTTATAATGTCCGCATTGTTAGCTGCAGACACACACACACACACACACAAGTATGTAAGTAAAATATGATGCCTAGGTTTTTAATACTATAGCAAACAAGGGGAAAGGTGAGAGAGAAAAAGAGAAAGGAGAAAAGAAAGTAAGAAGAGGAGGATGAGGAAGAGATACATTATAGACAGTTAAGATTGGCAAAGTGCTGGTAATTGCTGGGAGTACCTGGGGTTTCTAGTTTTAGGTATAATGTAAGTGTACATAATAAAAATGTTTAATGAAGAGCTCAGACTAGAAGGTCTGTTAATATTTCTTCCAGTTTAAAATTTTAGAGTTCTATATTTAACTTTCTAAAATATACCCACTGCATGTTTAAAAATACATGATAATAATACTAGAGGAATATTTCCTAAAATTTGTAACACATGAGAACCACAATGATTATAAGGCACAAATGTATTATTTGGGAGGAGGGACTTAAGAAGATGGCTATCCTTTCTTATAGGCAAGATAAAGAAGAATTTAATAAATGCTTCTGAGTACGGAAAGAATACGACCAACTATTTTTTGTACCAAATGATGACAAAGTAAGATGAAAAACACTTGAATTATAAAGATAGTAGAATAGATTTTCTCCCTCTTCTATCTCTTTGTAACAAAGTATACCATCAAACCTTCCAACTATGCTTTTAATCATTCATCAAAACCTTTCTGTGTTCACTGAGGGCTAGAAATAAACAATATTTTGCTGAGTATAGGTATGTGAGACAAAGATAAATGATAAAATGAGGCTTTATGCTTTTAAAAAACCTCCTATAAGCTCTTCAACCATTCTTTATTGTCTGCTAGTGAAAAATAAGAATGTGGCTTAGACATGAAATTTTATTAAGGATTTACAGGAAAATAATCTAAAATTCCCAAGTGTGAGTTAGACAGAAATCTGTTCGCAAACCCCCTAACCCCCTAAAATCATGGACAAGGTGTGGAGTCTGCATTTTTCTAGCAAGGCTGTGGTAGCTCTCATTAACCTTAAATGTAACAAACACCAATGGGATGAAACCACATTTCATGCCCCAGAAACTTCAACAGTGGAGTGGGGGTTGTGGGGGATGGGAGAGGAGGAAACTCTGTTTCCCTTTTCCCTTCCTAAGCTTCCACAGAGCCTGCTTCTTCAGGAAGTTGGATGAATTCAACTTGTAAAACTTTGTTTCCAGTGCTTGAGCGTCCTCTAGTGGCTGCTCCAACTGTCACAGTCAAGGCTCAGAGCACAAATTTTTTTCAATTTTTTTCCCAATAAAAACATAATTTAAGTCACACAGGTAAATTTTAAATGTTCTTGTATTCACATTTAAAAGTTTTTTGACTTAATTGTAAAATTTTATAATATGTATCCAAGTATATCCAAAATATTTTATTTGAAAATCTCTTAAATCTATTATCATTTGAAAATCTCTTAAATACTAGAATTGTCAGAAGTAACTGACAAATGGTGAGGCTAAAAACCACTAAACTCAAGATGAAAGGCAAAAGAATCTCAATTATGAGTTGTACTTTATCTAGAAAATACATTAGTTATAATAAAATGTTACACTACAAGAAAACTAAGGCTTACCCAAAAGTAACTGAAATAATGCAGAATACACTGCCTTTCAACTCCACCAAACCACCTTTAACAACCGACCATGCTGTAGATGAACCACCAAATTTAAATCTCAAGGCTTGTTGAAATTACCACATTATAGCAATCTACAACAAAAGTGAAGGTCAATGAAAACCATGTTTTCCACAGTATAAACTCAAGAATAGCATTTTTTGGTATCATTTCACTAATAAAAGAAATTACCTCAAAAACAGGTGTATTTTCCTGGAGCTCAGCTGTGTGGGCGGCCAGTAAACCAATCACCCGAGCAACCTTGGCCCTTCTGTAAATGGAGAGAAAACAGGCTCTGATGGAAGTCAGCATAAGAAAACCCACCTCAGTTAGTTACAAGGCACAATTAGAAGCATTAGCATAAATATTGAACATGACAGCCAAATAATTCCAAAATAGCCAATAGATAACCAAAAAAAGTGAATAACCTTGAAAGGAACTAAGAGGTAAGTCTCACACTTTCTGGTTTCCTAACTCATCATAAAGCTTTGTACTCAAGACAATGTGGTGCTGGCATAAGGACAGACCTATAGAGAAGTGGAATAGAGAGCCCAGAAATAAAGGTTCACATGTATGGCAGAATGACTTTCAATCAAGTGGCCAACTTTATTCAGTGGTGAAAAGACACACTTTGAAAAAATGTAGTTAGGGAAATTGAATATGCATGTGCAAAAGAATGAAGTTGGATCCTTATCTCACGCCATTAAAAAATTCAAAATGGATTAAACACCTAAACATCAGAGCTAAAACTATTAAAAGTCTTTGAAGGAAATATACAGAAAAAGCTTACGGCATTCATTCTGGCAATGAGTTACTGGATATGAGCCTAAAAGCACAAGCAACTAAGTAAAAAATGGGAAAACTGGGTTTCAATCAAATAGGAAACTTAGACTCTTCAAAGGAGATTTATCGACAGAGTAAGAAAACCACCTCCTTAACAGCATAAAATATTTGTAACTCATATCTTATAAAAGTTACGTCTAGAATAGTCAAAAAACGGGGTAAAAAACTGCAGATCAACAACATAAACAACCCCAGTTAGAAAACAAATCAAAGACTTGAACAGACATTTCTCCAAAGGTACAGATACAAATGGCTGGTAAGAATAGGGAAAGATACTCAACGATTACTAGCCATTAGTGAAAGGCAAATAAAAACCACAGTGAGATGCCCATTAGTATAGCTACTAGCAAGAGAAAGTGCAAGGAGAGAACTAGAAGTAAGACTGTTAGGAGGATACAGGAAACCTAAACCCTCATGCTTTACTGGTGGGAATGTAAAATGGTACAATCACTGTAAAAAAAAAAAAAAAAACAATATGGCGGTTCCAGTAGTTGAACATAGTATCACCATATTATCCAGGAATTGCACTCATTAAGTGTACAGCCAAAAAGAACTAAAAGCATAGACTCAAATGCATGTATATTATCATTGTTCATGACAACATTATTTATAATAGCCAAAAGGTAGAAGTAACCTTTTGGTTACATTTGCCCCTCAACAGGTGATAATATAAAGTCTTAATCATCCATAAAAAGAAATTCAGACATATGCTACAATTGGCTGAACCTTGAAAACATTAAGCTAACCGAAGTAAGTCAGACACTTAAAAAAACACCTGTTTTATGATTCCACTTATACTTGATACCTAAATAGGTAAATTCTGAGAAATAAGGACAGAGGTTATCAAGGCTGAAAAAGGAATGAATCAAACAATCTCTTTTGAATGGGTAAAAGCTTCTGTTTGGAATGATGAAAAGGTTCTCAATATTTATAGTGATGATGGCTAAGCAACACTGTTGACATTTAAAAATGGCTGAAATTATATTTTATGTTATTTATATTTAACCACAATTAGTAAAATTTTTAACGAAATAGTAAAATTGAATTAACACATGTATAAATAAAGTTGATGGTAAAGGTTATAAAAATTTGATAAAAATTCACTTTTGAAAGCGCTAACAAAAAACCTACACACTGACTGGAAATGCATGCCAATACAATGTTACTAAAGAGTGTGCCACCTATTTTTCCGAAGTCATAAAAACATTTCTAGCCTTCATTCATTCATGCACTCTAATTCTATGAAACTTCACTGAGGGGAGAGAAAAGAAACAGGCACAAAGCCTTTAGCACAAAAATGATCCATCGAAGTAGTTTAAAATATGTGATACTGGGCCCTCCCTGTTGGCACAATTGGTTATAGCACAGCACTATGAATCCTGATGCAGCCACTTCATGAGTTCAATCCCCAGCCAGGGAGGTGACCCACATGGTGCTGCAGACCTCTCCTGACCTGCCCACTGCTCCCTCAGCAGTGTACTTTGTCAAACTGCCTGTTCTGCTCCCCACTCTGTCTCTGGGGAATCCTCTCACCACCCCTGCACATCTGGCCTGTACCCCAGCTCTATATACATAAATAAATCTTAAAAAAAAAGTGTGATACTATGCAAAATAGGGAACAGAGTTAACTGTAATGACCAGAATACACAGATTTTCCAAAAGGCCTACCTTAGAAAAGCATCTTGGACAAATGACACTAAAACATGTAACATGTTATAAGAGAAACAGTTATATCATGTCACCCCATTGTTTTTGTGTTTGCTGAACACACATACCATGCAACCATGACTATCTCCTGCCTGCTAGGTGAGGGACCTTCACCATGTGTTATCCAGGTAATATGGCCTGGGTGAAAGACAGCCTCCTGGGAGAAGAGGTGTTTGGCTACCACAGACAGTACCAGAAGTCTCCACACTATGAAATTGTCTACCTTACTATTTGTCAGTGTCCAGAAATTAAAAACTAAAAGATTAAGAATGTATGTTTAAAAGTCAGCAGGGGGCACCCCATTCAACGGTATAACTTAAGTTTTAGCTGGAATGTTTTATATTGTTGGTTTCTTTTTAATGAGCACACTGCAAAGCTTCTCAAAAATTAACTGATAATCCAATTTCAAAATGCTAGCTTTTATCTTGGGAGAGTATCATTAGAAGCTCCAAAATACCACCATTTTGTGAATACCTATTACTCCCCACCCATTCTGCAGCATGAAAGAGGAATATGCTCCCACTAAACACTGCATTTCATAAAATCCCTTCACATTCATGTTTCATGGGCTTCCCCAGACAATAATCTAAAGTTAACCAGCTTGCTGATAAATACTGCAAATCCCAAACACACAATACACTCTAAGGACCATGAAGAACCAGGCACTGTGCAAGGTATTTTTTTCATCATATCTTGCCTTATCCAAAGTTTAATTTACCAAAAAAAAAAAAAAGAAGTAGACTATCTTCACTTTACAGAAAACCAAGACTCAAGAGTGAAAGCACTTTTTCCAGGGGGTAAAAGTGACCCACACCCTGGTCTGTCTGAATCTGAAGCCTGTGCAGTTTTAGCCTCTCACACAGACTCCTCAGGAAGCTGAGACGCAGAAGGTAGTCATCTGCCCAGGCCTCAGCGGCAGCTAGAGCCAAGCCTTCCAGGGCTTGACCCAATGAGCTTCACATCATGCTATGCCGCCTCCATGAAAAGCAAGTACACCTCCCACCATCAGGAGCTCACAGGCACCAACAGATTTTAAACATCATGAGAAAACAACATGCTACATGAGAGGGGGAAGTCCCTGGAAGCTTAACTAAATGAAAATGCAGGGTTCAGCAGTAAAGTATTGCACAAAGAATATTCTAAACAGTAAGCATCTCATAGATTCCATATTGATTTATACATAATCCCAGAACTGTATTTACATTAAGGTAAAGACTATTTTGTAATCTTTTTACATTTATAATTGGGGTGCTTAGAGACACTGCCTGTGATTTAGTCATCATGATTTCAGAATATTTTATGAGCAAGCAGTATTTAAGACATATGCTTCTGATAAGTATGTATACATAACTGTATAAAAAAGTAGTGAAGAATAACTTATTAAAATATAAATGTTACTTACATGTCCCAGTTTGGAGCTATTCGCAAATGCTGGATTAGCAACTGAAACTAGAATAAAAATATTAAGATGTACTCTTAGACATCCATAAAGCCACACAGAAAGTAACCACTAAGTTAATAATCTGACCTGTATGCAACTGAAATATGAATTCTAGCAAGATGTTTACACAAATGCAAAAGCACTGAATATATGAGATAAGAAAAATGACAAAGAATACTTTGTTTCTCTACCCAGCTGTGTATCTAAAATGAACCCACTCTTATCCCACAAACTCATGCCAAGTACCAAACAAGTAACCTTAATGCTATCCTGCAAGCAAATGAGCTTAATTTTTTTTCAGCCAGTTCCCAAATGAGAGCCTATTGTGGAAAATACCCAGATCACTGTAATTGCTTTCTTGAGAACTACTTCAAAAGCTCTGCCAATACCCATAGTTTTACAGCCGCAAGATACCATTAGTAGAGGAAAATGAAAAATAAAAACATGTTTTAGAGACTAGGTCTCCCTTTTGTACCACATAAGAAAACTTGGCATTTACCAGATCTACCCAGAAAGAGCCTCTGTCCAGTAGCTGATAAGAAGCTCCTATAAAATATTTTCCATATCTGAATAACATAATTATTGCAAATGAACCTAAAAAGCAAGTCAGAGTGCTCCAAATCACTGAATATGTCCAAAATTACAGTCTATTTCACTCTATTAGACCTAAAAACTACACAAAGGACATTTTTAGTTAATGTACTGCCTTAATAAACCGCTTTGATTGCAGTTCATCCCACTTAATATTTTCACACTTGTTTGAATCTCTATAAAAAAATAAAAGTTCCATGCTAAAGGCATGCAGGAAAGGTCCGAAACCTCACTACCTACCAGCGGGGAGTGGAGGAGCCGGCTGGCCACCTCCCGGTGACCGGCCACCACACACAAGTAGCAAAGGAGATTGAGCTTAGTGCGGGAGGCGCTCAGGCTTTTCTCAACAGAGTCAATCTGTGAGCACACTTGCTGCAGAAAGTCATTCCACTCTTGGTCTTTTAGAAACACCAGTTTATCCACTGAAAAGGAAATAAGACGTGTGGATAGTACAAGAAACGGATTATAAGCAAAGTAAAATATTACATGAGAAATAAAATAGAGCACAGAATTTCAATAGCTACATCAGGGTAGAGAGAACCACTAACTTCACAAAGCCAAAGCCCAAAAACAACACAACTTTCCTACTCTTCCACATTTCTTTTCTACCCTTGGAGGCTTTTTTAATGAGGTCAATGGCAAATGGTGCTTTGAAAAACAAGCAGATGCTTCAAGGAGAATTATCCTACAGCTGAGAACCCAACAGAACACAAAGTTAAATAAAACAAAGTTTTATTTATTTATTTAACAAAGTTATGAAAAAACAAGGTAGGCTTTGTATAAATAAAGCAATCTGTATTTAAAATACTGGGAAAGGTCAAAAAATTTAGTTGTTAAAAGACTCCCATGAAATGACTGTTAAAAATAAATAATCACATCAATATGACAGCTGAAAGTTTAGGCATCCCACCTCCAAATCCCTTCATAAACAAAAGATAAAACTAGGAAATGAGATACCATGTAAAATTAACAAAGTTTCAGCTGATCTTATCTTTGTTTAGTCTTCAAAGTATGAATAATAATTTCTTAAAATAACTCAAAGGGGAAAGGGTAAGGATTATTATTTCAAGTTAATAATTCCCTAAGTTTTGAAAAAAGTGGTGTGGTTTATTTAGACTTGAACATGTTGTGTTTAAATTGATTTTGATGTGATTTCATAACATGGATTCTATTCTAGCTCTTAAGAATTTTCCTGATATAACTTACCTTTAAATATAACTTAAAATATACCAAAATTTAAGATACAAAAAAAAAATTATTATTTTCCCCTAAATAACACTTGTACAATTAGGCAAGAGGCAATTTAACAATCATACTTTAAGCATCTCCTTATTCCTAATTCCTACCTCACCGCACAAACAAATCATCTGACCCCACTTCTCAACTCTCTTTTCCCTCAAGTACAATCTCAATTCTTCGTTAAGCCTTTGCAATCACCGATGGCACCATAAATGTTGGCCATTCAACTGCATCTACGGTGAAGGGGAATAAAGGGCTCAACCACTCAGCAAAAAACATAATTTTCCCGCCTACAAGAGTACAAAGCCCAGACTGAGCTGAGTAAGGGTAAAGACCAACTGATCTGAATTACAGGTTGTTTATCATTTGCATAAATTTCCCAAGAATTTAGTCAGTTACCAAAAAAAAATTAAGAAATTTAGCTATTCATAAAATATTCCTTTTGCTATTAAATTTCCTATTTGTGTCTGACTCTAAACTACATATTTGATTTACCCTTTATTATCCTACCTGGGTGTGCTGGTAGATGTAATATTTTTGGATCAAATTTAATTGGTGGTTGCTTCATTATCTATGGTTTAAAAACAAAAAATTTTGAGGCACATGTTGATCTCCTGATAAAATTCCTATGTTAGATTATAAGTAAATGAGGACAGAAAAGAAAGCCATAAAGTTTGTCATCAGAAAGAATAAGCATTCAAGTATCAAAGTGTATATACATAGATACAATAATTTACAAAAATAAAATCATTATCAACTGATATCTGCAATAAAATTAAGTTTTATTAAAGTCAGTCACCCTATTTTGGATTTTTTTTTAAATACATTTATTTATTTATTATTTTTGCATAGAACAACTGGGGTATAGGCCAGAGGTGGGGGAGGGAGAAGGTTAGAGAATTCACCAGAGACACAGTAGGGAGCAGAGCAGGTGGATTTACTGAAATACACTGCTAGGGGGAGCAGCAAGCAAGATTGGTCTGCTGCGCCCTATGTGGGTCACCCCCCTGGGGATCGAACTCAGGCCATAGTGGTAATGGTGCTGAAACTTAACTCCTGGCCACCTGGGAGGCCCTATTTTGGATTATTCTTAAGTTTACTCACCTCTAGGCTAGAAATTTAGTCATAGAATAGTTCTTGGGTACCTGCCAGGGTGGCACTTATCCCCCCCTCCCCCAGTGCCAAGGGGGATACACATATATATGAGACAAAGATATGAAAGACATGATTCTACTGTCAGAGAGCTGATATCTGGTTGAAAAGACTGGACAGATGTGTTAAACAATAATTTTTAAAACATAACTAACGATTCAAAACAGGCAGGATAAAATATAGACAAAATAGAGAGAAATAAAATATATATAAGACTGCAGCTAGCACTTCAGGAAATGTGGTCAAAACAAAGGTTCACAGATTGAAGAACTGAGGTCTTCAAGGATGGTTAGGCTTTGATAGCTGCATTAGAGAGCATTCCAGGAAGCTAGCACAGCATTAAAGGAAAAGTGCACAGTTTCTTTAAGTGAAGAAAGCATGTATTTGGATCCATGAGACACTTCATTTTGAAAATTATAATAAATTCCACCATCATTTCCACATCTAACTTCTCTAAAAGCTCTGTAAATAACACTTGTTAAAACCTTTACTGGCAACATTCCTGCCAAAAGGGCACAACCTTATTCTAATCATGCGAAATCCTGAAACAAACCCAAATTTAGGAATGTTCTGCAAAATATCTCACTGGCATTCTTACAATTGCTAGGGGCAGGAAAAACTGAGAAATTACCACAAGGTCATGAAAGGACAAAGAGGTACAGCAACTAACTGTATAACAGGAGATCCTAGCACAGAATGACGTCAGGGCACAACTGGAAACATCTGAATAATTTGGTAGTTGGACTAGTAGCCCTGTGCCAGTCAAGTCCTTGATTTTGCTAACCATAGTGAGAGCCTGTAATATTAACATTAGCAAGAGCTAGGTACAAGGTATATGGAAACTGCACTATTTTTGAACCTCTCTACAAAAGTACAAATAATTCAAAATAAAATTTGTTTTTTAAATCCACCAAATAAGGTTTCCCAGAAATGAAGTATGTTTGTGAAAAAAAGAAATAAGAGATAATATGATCAAAATATATCATAAATTAGTGCAGAAGCTCGCTTAGGAAAATGCCCCATTACACACCAAATTTAGCATCATAAGCAGCCATTCTACTAGCTAGCTCCACAGTTAGCTCCATTATGCAAAACAGCTAGATAATACATATTAAATGTTGTCTATTTAGTAAATACGCATTCGAGAATCCTTTTTTTTTCTAAACTACTGTAATGTTCCCAAATGAGATGAGTCACAAATTAACACCCAAAAAATGTATTTTTTTAAAGAAAATTGAAATACAGAGATGATAGAAAGTGAGTGTGTGTTGGGAGTCTAGAAATCAGTAGAAAGCAGAGAAATTAATGCTTTTCCAAACAGAATACATCTATAAAATGGTATTATAGTCCAAAAGATTTGAAGCAACAAAAATCACAATGAATTAGAAATGCATTGTGAATGATTACCCCACAAGCCCACAGGGTCTCCCTACTATCTGTTACCTTGCAGTCCTGACAAGTGTGAGAGGATACTGTCTCTGAGAGATCCGTGTACCTACCCCAGCCTGGTGAGAGTGCTCACTGACATCTGCCTTCAAACACATCAGCAACTAGAATATTTAAAGAACTCACCTAAGTCCATACAGAGAGAGGAAGGAACAGAGAGCTAAGGCCTAATGTCCAGAAGTCTCAACCCTCTCCTCAGCCTTTGGACAGGTGGGTGGCAGAAGTGATGGAGAGAAAGGAGAAAACTCACCTCTCTAATAAAGGGAAAGTGAAGGCAAGAAGAGAAGCGGGATGCAGACAGGGTGAGAGAAAGGCCCTCCCTGGTGATATAAGGGGGTAAGTCACAGCACTATGAAGCTATCCCCAGCTACTGCAGCACAAGTTTATCAGCCAGGGAGCTGACCTACATGCATAGCAATCCTCTCTGTCTCTCCTGCTGCACACTTCAGCAGTATATTTTGGTCAATCTTCCTGTTCTGTTCCCCACTGTCTCTGGTGAATCCTCCCAACCCCTGCACCTCTGGCCTGTACCCCAGTTCTTATATGCATAAATAAATCTTTAAAAAAAAATGTATTACAAAAAACAAACAGCCCACTAATTGGGAAAAATTTTTCTCACACAAAACTAGTGATAAAGGACTGATCACAAAATATACGGAGAACTGATGAAACTCAACAAAAATAAACAACCCCATCAAAAAATGGGCAAAAGAGCTAAAAAGGCACTTGTCCAAAGAGGAAATGCAGATGGCCAACAAGCATATGAAAAAAGGTTCAACATCATTCATAATGAGGAAGATGCAAATTAAAACCACAATGTGATACCACCTCACCCCAGTGAGAATGGCACATCTTCAAACAACTAGCAACAACAAATGTTGGCGAGGATGTGGAGAAAAAGGAACTCTCCTGCACCGCTGATGGAAATGCAAACTAGTACAACCACTATGGAAAAATGTTTGGAGGTTCTTCAAACTGCTTAACATGAAGCTTCCCTATGACCCAAAAATCCCACTCCTAGGTGTCTAACCAAAAGACACAAAAACACTGATTCAAAAAGATACCTGCACCCCCATGTTTACTGCTGCTTTATTTACAATTGGAAAAACATGGAAGCAGCCCAAATGCCCAAAAGTACATGACTGGATTAAAAAGATGTGGTACATATATACAATGGAATATTACTCAGCAACCAAAAAAGAGAAACACATGTCTTTTGCAGCAACTTGGAAGGAGATGGAAAAGGTCATGCTTAGTGACATAAACCAGAAAGAAAAAGAAAAATACCGGATGGTTTCGCTCATAGCAGGAGTATAATGGACCAGGAGAGAAAATAATAATAATAATGAACAGCCATATACCAGAGACATTTTTTGGGGGTGGAGTGGGGTATGGGATCAAAAATTCGGGGGGGTGGGGAGGGAAGTGCACGGGATTATGGTGATGGCACACGGGTGACTTGGTGATGGGAAACCCATGGGGATTACAATTGAGATGGGAAAAAAAATTTTCCAAATTGTTTTAAAATTAACTTTTTTTTTTTTTTAAAAAAAAAATGTAGACATGTGACCTGAATGAAATAAAAGCAGACATCAAGAAGAACAGGAGAGAATGAAGCAAAGAATATTTGAAAGAAAATGTCACTCAGATTGTAGACTTCAGTGAAGTCTGAAACTCAATCCTCAACCATTATAGTGTCTTTCCACACCTTTGAGTTGTCGATAATTGGTGTGACCACAAGATCTGAGTCTGTGTAGATAAGCTCTTTCATCCGGGATTCCAGCTCCTGCTGACTCAGGTATCCACTTGTGATCTGAAATAACAAAAATTAGACTGAGCCACAGAGATGCTGAGTATAACACCACTGAAAAAAGTCACCTGTATCAATGTATCTGAACCATTACCCCAACTACTTTATAGAGTCTCATTTCATCTGCACAAAAACCCCAAGTTACTTGTATCATTATTCCGAGTTTACAAACGACAAAAACAAGACACAAAGTATAACTGATTTTCCCACATTCACAGAAAAGACTGATAGGAACTAAGAAATGAATCTTCTATGATTTGATGTTTAAACTATGATGAGGAAAAATCTGGTCTTTCAATTACCAACATCAATCAAACACTAATCAATTATGCTTTACACGATATTCTGTATGAATTTACAGCATTAAGAAATTTCAGGTTGAAATAAATAGGAAAAGAAAAGAAAATTTCAGGCTGAAATACTGAACTAAGTGTTTATAAAACCTAGCTAGAGTGACACATAATTTACTCTTTACTCTACTTAAAACTTTATCCCTAGTTAGACAAACTTTACCCCTCAGGACTTCAAATCAGAAAAAAAAAAAAAGACAATTTTGCATTAAGAACTTCTACTGAAATGTGACCAGCAAATTGAATAAAACAGAAACCATCCAAAATTGAGATAGGAGCATAAGTGTAGGAATAAAGTAATAAGTTAATAAAATTCCCAGAAACTGTCCCCTGAAACTTAGGAAACAAGCATATTAAATACCAAAAAGAATATGGAGGAAATTTACATGTAAAAAACAAAACAAAAAAACAAACACGAGACATTTCAGAACATGGGTTTTCAAAACAGAAAAAGACTGCAGTAGATTTACTTATCACCATTAATTATGTAACCTGAAGAATATTAAAGAATCTTTCTGAGTCAATTTTACTTCATCTTTAATAAAATTTCTGGACTGTGAAGAGTAAATTTTGAGGATTTTCAACGTTTGGCACCAGTTACACAGGTGGGCGAGCACAGGGACTGTGGTGATGGTGCACAGGTGACCTGTGACCTGGCGATGGGAACTCTTGGGGGCCACACACAAGTGAATAAAGCACACCATGTGCGAAAATGAAGAATGATGAAAAATATATAAAATTTTTTTAAAAAGTGCCTTGAGGGCCCTCCCTGGTGGCGCAGCAGGTTAAAGCACAGCACTGAGAAGCTAAAGCCACTTCCCCATGAGTTCAATCCCCGCCTGCCCCAGAGGTGACCACATGGCGCGGCAGACCTCTCCTGACCCGCCCGCTGCTCCCTCAACTAGTGTACTTCATCCATCTGCCTGTTCTGCTCCCCACTCTGTTCCTGGTGAATCCTCTCACCCTCCGCATCTCTGGCCTGTACCCCAGTTCTGTATGAATAAATAAATCTTTAAAAAAAAAAAAAGTGCCTTGATATAATAATGAAAGGCAACTTTAAAAAAAAACTTTAAGTTCAAAATATTTCTGCCTTCAAGCAAATATGATTTAAAGAAATGAAGGGCCTAAATAAACAGAAAGACAGTTTGTGCTGACCAGCTAAAAGAAAACTTTATATTGTTAAGATGGAAATACGCTCCCACACTGACCAATAGATTCAGCACAATTGCTATCCTAAACCTAGCTAGCTTCTTAGCAGAAACTGACAAAGGGACCCTAGCTTTCATATGAAAATACAAGGGATACAGAAAAGCCAAAACAACCTTGAAAAAGAACAAAGTTCTAAGACTCTCCTAATTTCAAAATATATTAAAATGCTACAGTGATCAACAGTTAACTACTAGCTTCAGGAAAGCATAGATCAGTGGAATAGAATTGAAAGTTCAGAAACAAACTTTTAGCAAGTTACAAGACAAAGACATCTAGAAACCCACGTGCTAAATAAGCTGTCCTCCTACCTCAAACCATATATAAAATCTAACTCAAAATGCATCACAGACCTAAAAGTGATAGCCAAGCATAAACCTTTTGACCTTGGAGTAGACAATGATTTCTTAGTCATTTCACCCAAAGCACAAGTTCACACAATAATTGTTACTATGGACTATATTAAAAGCTTTTGTGTGCTTAAAAGGACACCATGAAGAAAATAAAAAGACAAGCCACAGATGGAAGAAAATGGTTAAATCATAACTAGACTATATTAACAATTCCCAAAACCCAATAACTGGGCAAAGAATTTGAATAGACTCTTTCAGAAATGAACAGCTAATAGGAGATGCTCTACATTGTCAGCCCTGTGAGAAATGTAACTCAAAACTACAATGAAATACAATTTCACACCCATGCGGATAGCTATAATCAAAAAGAGATAATGCAGCATTATTCACAATAGCCAAAACGTTAAAGCAACCAACTGTCCATCAGAGGATGAATGAATAAACGAGTATATACACACAGTGGAGTGTTTACTCATCCTTAAAAAAGGAATGAAATTCTGACACAAGCTACTACATGGATGAACCTGAAAACATGACTAAGTTGAAATAAGCCAGACATGAAAGGACAAATATTGCATGGTTCCATTTTTCCCGAGATTACCAGGAAAATTCGTAGAAGGAAAGTAAAATTGTGACTGCCAGGATTAGGGCCAGGGGAAAATAGGCAGCTCTTGTTGAGTAAGTAGACGACTTCAGTTTGGGATGATTAAGTTCCCAGAGAAGAATAGTGGTAATGGTTATATAACAATGAAAAGGTACTTCATGCCACTGAACTGTTATGTTTAAAACTTGTAATGTTTATGTAATACATATTTTACCACATTTTAAAAAAAAAGACACTGAATTTTGGTGAGAATGTATAAAAATTGGAATCCCCATTCAATGCTGATAATGCAAAATGATACATCTGCTTTGGAAAATGGTTTGGTGACTCAGCAATTTCACTCCTGTGTACTTAAACATAAGTCCTCAGAAACATGTACACAAATACTCACAGTAGCATTGTTCTTAATAGCCAAAAAGAAGAAAGATCTCAAATAACCATCCACTGGTGAACAGAAAAATTAAATGTGGCATATACAACAGAATATAATCTGGAAATATAGTAGTGATGTGTGCTACAATTTGGATAAATTCTAAAACATGTTAAGTGAAAAAAAAGCAGTCACGAAAAGATCAGAGTGGATTATTCCACTCATAGTAAATATCCAAAATGGCAAACTTATATAAAAACTGCCTATTTTTAAAACCTTGTACATTTTAAAAGAATTGTAACATTTTTAAAGGAATGACTCTATGGTATGTTAATTAAGCCTCATTAATAGTGCTGGCAAAAAGGAAAAAAAAACTATAAAGCAGTTCTTGAGAGAGTAGAAAAACCAATGATAATCAGAGGTAAATTTTGCAATTTTGAAAACAGCTCAGAGGTCCACCTGCAATGACCGTTCTGAGCCTCTGTGTTTTGAGTAAGGGAAAAAGGGCTTTCTCAGCTCACCTTGGTCACAGGAGGAGGAGATGTTTTCTGAGGTGAATTTCGAGTCCCATCCTCACCAGGACTGAATCCCACTGTGGTACTAGTTCTTGGGGTAGGACGGGAGCTAGAAAATACACACCAGTGAACATTATCCAGGTATCAGAAACTATCCTGTTTACTTTCTTCTGGGGTAACACACATGTTATGGGCTCTCCCTGGTGTCACAACAGATTAAACCACAACACTATGAAGTTGTCCACAGCCACTGCAGCACAAGTTCGATTCCCAGCCAGGGAGGTGACCCACATGGCACAGCAGACCTTAGCCGTGTATTTCAGTAGATCTGCCTGTTCTGCTCCCTACTCTCTCTGGTGAATCCTCTCATCCCCCCACACCTCTGGCCTGTACCCCAGTTCAGTGTTCTTAAATAAATCTTAAACACACACACACACACATCATATGTCATGAGACCTCTCCTGTCTCACCTGCTGCTAACCTCAGCAGTGTATTTCAGTAGATTTGCCTGTTCTGCTCCCCACTCTGTCTCTGGTGAATCCTCTCGCCCCCCACACCTCTGTCCTGTATCCCAGTTCAGTATTCTTAAATAAATAAATCTTAAACACACACATACACACACATTTGTCATGAGAAATGGTACTGAAGATTAAGGAATAAATTATAGCTCACAAAGTTTTTTTTTTTTTTAAAGATTTATTTATTTGTGCATACAGAAATGGGGTACAGGCCAGAGGCTCAGGGGCGGTGAGAGGCTTCACCAGAGACAGAGTGGGGAACAGAACAGGCAGATCGACGAAGTACACTGCTGAGGGGAGCAGCGGGCGGGTCAGGAGAGGTCTGCCACACCATGTGGTCACCTCCGGGGCAGGCGGGAATCGAACTCATGCGGAAGCGGCTTTAGATTCTCAGTGCTGTGCTTTAACCCGCTGCGCCACCAGGGAGGGCCACTCGCAAAGATTTTTAAAGAATTTGCCTACATTTGTAAATGGCAGCCAGACTCTATGGGGCCTTCTATTGCACCTGCATCTCTGACTTAAACTTCTTTGAGATTTCCTTCCAGTCAGATCATTAGGGCTTTTTTAAAAAAAGTCCTTCAAATTTGCAAATATCAGGATTCCTACCTCGCTCATCCTTTCTTCATTTACTAAATAAGTACTTAGTTGCTATCAGATTGTTTAAAAAAAAAAAAGTGAAAGCTGAATTTAAAATAGCTGAGATATATATAAATATAAATTTTAAATACTTTACATCTTAATGTGAGTAAAAGTCAGAAAATTGTAGTTCAGCTTTATTAGCCCTATCTCATTAAATAAAACTATTTTCCTATGAGACTAAAAACTATAAATAAAACATCTAAATATTATAAAAATTGCTATACATTGGTCTTAACACTTTGACATCATCCTGAAATTTTCATTATCTCAGTAACTACAAGCATTCTTTAAGGTCACAATTTAAAAGAAAATTGAATATAACCTGTTTTTTCCCTCTGTCTGTATCCAAATGTAGAAGCTGGACTTCTGAAATTTTAAACTCAATTCTATTTCAAGTCAAAGTAAAAAATGAATAAGATTTAACCCTTATAAGTAGGAAAGACAATTTGGTTTGGTCAAAAAAGTTTTAAATCTATGTTTCACCAGTCAGTACTTCATGGTAATTTTGACAGTGGAAAGTAAAACTGGAATTCATATCCCTGTCCTTTGTAGCTGAGTAATGCAGCTTGGGACCAGAAGATTTAACATTCCTCTCCCATGGATGCCTTTTAGTTGTGCCATTTTGCATACCTGAGAAGAAACATGTACTCATTCAACTGGCCCCCAGTAGTGCTCTTAGGCCGCAAGTCAGATGGATTTTCTGTAGCGGGAAAGTAAAACATTATCCATAAAGAACACAAATATCACAAGCTGGGCATAACACTGACAGGGGCCAAAGGAGAAAGGCATCACAGAGGAGGGACTCTCAGAAACTGCATCCGTGGCAGCAGGCACCTGTTCGCATGCAAGCTCACCCAGCCTGAAGGAGTGACTGAGTTGCTGGCCGGTCTTCTCTGCCTGTGCTGGTGCGCTCTGAGGGTTCTTTGAAAGTTCCTTGGAACCATGTGGCTCAGAACACTCCATTGCCTTCCTGCTGTTTAAGAGAATAAAGTCATCACAACCAGACTTACTTTGGAGCACTCAATAGATTTTTTGTGTGTAGAACAAGAAGAAAAAATTAAATGACATAACATTTGGCAAAGTCATGTAGATAAGAACTAGTTTATCCTTGAATAGCTAAAAAGACTGTCTACAAACCTGGTCTCTGAAAAGTAAATGGCACTAGGCAGACTAGGGAAAGGAACCACAACTCAAATTACCAGCACACCAGCAATGAGTTTCCGTATTGCCTGGCTTGAACTCAAAGGCAGTGAAGACAGCCAAGCCTGCTATTTCTGCTCCACAGTAAAGGAAAAGGAACCCAAAGAGACAGAGGCAAGGGAAATCGCTCTAGCTCAGTCCAGCAGGGTGGGTGAGACAGCAGCAGCTACTGGCCATTTACCAGAACTCCAAGGGAGGGGAATCGTCTTCTCTGATCAGAGCCATGAGTCCAAGATCATCAGGCGAAATCCCATTGATTTGTTCTCTCGTTTTCTCTCTAACTCCCACCACTTGACCCCAGAGCATCCAATCAAAACACGAAAACTTTAATAAAACCAAGACTAAGCAGGAATGCAAAGTTGGTACAACACTTGAGAAACAATGAACAGAAAGAATCCATAGCAAGAGTAAAGAAAAACCAAAAGCTTCCATCAACTGGTACAAAAAGGCTTTTGACAAGATTCAATTTTCATTCAAATTGGAAAAGGACAGTTACAAAATACTTAATGGAGGAAGCTGAACACTTCCATCCTAAAATCAGAAGCCAGGCATGAAGTACACTTTCATCACTCCTGATTCACTGTGTGACTGGAGGAGTCCTAGCAAGGACAAAAAATACAAGACAGATAGATTAAAAAGGAAGGTGCCTACAAGGGCTGAGGTGACCTGTCGATGCTGAGAGGCCAGAGCTCAGTTTCCAGTCCCACCAAGCCTGATACCATGGGGAGCACACAGTGGAGCTGGCCAGGACACAGGAACGCAAGTTTGGGACTTAAATAGAACTCAGCTTTCTCTATCCAATGCACTGATCCTGCCAAGGTAAAAAAGTAGAAATGAGAGAACCATTTACCACAGAATGAGTGCAGCCAGGGAAAAGCCAATTACCACACACTTTACCACCATTCATCTAACTCCTACCTTGTCCTTTTCCAAATGCCATCGCACTTTCTTAAGAGTGCTGGGCTAAGATGATGTTTTTAATAATAAAAACGAAGTCTGTCAGTGGGGATGAGCTAGGTTATGCTTTGATAACACAAGTCCGCAAATCCTAGTGGGGGGGCATCACACAGCTTTGCTTCTCACTGGTGACAGAGCCGTGGCACAGAGCCAGGACAACTGTGCTCGCAGTTCTCACTGATGATGCCAACTCCATTTCAGCATCTTCTTCCCAGTTACCTCAGCAGGAGAAAGGAATGTGGCAAATTGCACACTGGCTCAAGTTTCCACACCTACCTTTAATGGGGAAAATGAGATCCTACTATGTGTTTGGAAGATGGGAAGCCAGTTAAATTTGGCAAACAGGACTAAAGACTACCATATAATATCCTACAGAGCAGAAAACAAGCAAAATCCACATCACATCACAAAAATGGCATGATTTTTAAGCAGCAATTAAGCAAATGCTTGATTTTTCTACTACTGTGAAAAGCAGAAAAAGTGTTGCTGCATCATTAGAATAGCAACAGGAATGAGTGTTTAGTAGCCTTGTCCCCCACGCAATGAAAAGTTTATAATACCTGACACTGGAATCCTCGGTGCTCAAGTCCTGATCTTTTCTAGTGAAAGCATCCTTCCAAAATGAATGCTGCAGTAGGCCCGTCCAAGTTAGTCTTCATAAAACAAAAACATTCAAATTCATTTTAACATGACTACCATGGGAAATTCCCAGGACATGTATTACATGTATCACATTTTACATCAAAAAATAGCTTCATAAAAATGTACCTCTGAAATTGTCTCACATGCTAATCTTTCACTTTAGTTTGCAGTGAACCTCTCAGACAACAGCATCGAAGGAATGACTCAGAAGCCTAATGGCACACAATGGAAGAGTCTGACAACTGAGTATCACAGGTCTCAGGTGCTACGCACCATGGAGCCTGATGAAAACATTTCAAACAGCTTATCAAGTCTACAAATGACATAAAACTTTCAGGAAGCCTATCAGATACTATCAGTCCATCATTCTATGTCGTGTGTCTAGGTCCCAAGAGGGTGTAGATAGTTCCATGTGCCCTAATCTGTTCCGCACATTTCACTTTTGAAGCGTCACTGTTAGAATGCACTGAGATATAAACAAGAACATCAACTTCATGCTTTATATACAGTCACCCTCTCTTTAGGAATCAAAATGTTATCTAGCTAACATTAAAATGATGTTAGGCTGTATCAAAAATCCAGCTTCACTTTCAATACATTTTATTACTAAGAGAATATACTAATGCTATAGTCTCCTCAGTTTTTGTAAGTTAAGACTGACTGAAATTTAAAAACAAAAAGGGAAATAATTCATATGATTATTCTATACTTTTTTATTAAAATGAGAATTACTTCAATCAAAATTAAAACACAAATGATAAAGGAAAGCACAGAGATATTTTAACAGAGAGATATATAAAAAAGGTATTTAATGCCAAGGTCTCTTAACAGTCACTAACAGAAAAATAAAAATTGCCAATAAAGTGACATGCCTTTTTCATCCATCAGATTGACAAAAAGTTACAAAACCAACAAAACTGCTCTTGGGAGAGAAGGAGTTTTCTAAAGCTGCTACAAGCAAAACCAGCCCATGCTATTAAGAAAGCAGCTAATACTCAAACTTTGTGGTCTTAGTCTTTGACCAGCAGTATCGCACTTTGAGAAATTTATCCCAAGGAGGTAACTCCCCTACTCAACAACAACAAAAGTGCAGTACAGCTTATTTGCTGTAGCAGTATTTAGAATGTTCCAAATCATGATGCACTCTGAACAGTTGTCACTATTGCAGGTTATCTTTTGTACACTGTGCAGTCATTACAATGATTAAGCAGCTATGGTGACCACACCTGAGGGGAGGATCCTCGCTTGTCAAAATATTGCCAAGAATGTAAAACAATGGTACTTCATCATTACAAACAAAAATACAGAGAGAGAGAAAAGCAGATCTTGGAGAGGTACAGTTTATATAAATATGCTCATATACAGGGATATAAATACATGGAAATACTTAACATTTCTTTTCAAAAGAGGCATGGAAGACTAGCCACCAAAAGAACAGGAACCCTAAAAGCATTCCATTGTAAGCACAGGAAAACTTTGTTCCATAATTTACACGACAATCAGCATTTCCTAGTAGAGTTTTTCTCTTATATTTAATAAAGACTAACTAATTCCTACTCTTCATTTCACACCCTGAAGCAGAGACCCAAATCTGTGCCTAAACAGCAAGTCCAGAACTGGAAAGCAGCTATCCTTACCTCCCAGGGCAGGGGGATTCCTCTTTCCACAAACATGCTACCTCATCCTCCTCTACCCCATCACACAGTCTCTGGCATTCACCCTGTGACTCTTATTCTCTTATGATGACAGATTATCATAAAAACACATTAAAATAACAGTTAATAGGGCCCTCCCTGGTGGCGCAGAGGGTTAGAGCACAGCACTGAGAATCTAGGGCCACTTCCGCATGGGTTCGATCCCCGCCTGCCCC